TAACTTGTATTTTGAGATCAAAATGACCAGATATTATTGAAACATTTCAAAATACATTCAAAGTTTAAATTTGGGGAGAATGTGATATTTCTTTAGTAGTATTATTATTTACTTAACCCAATTTTGTAAACAAATCTAACCAACAAAATTTTTTAAAAAAAATATCAATACAAAAAATGTCACTAATAGTCTTTCCTCTTGAGGTTATGAAAATAAATGGACACCATTTAAGTATAATTTTTCTCTTAAATATTCATACTTCAAATTTAGTATTTGCATGACAGTAATAAGGATTACCATAAACATTTCAATATTTTATCTTCATATGTAATCTATCTTTTAACCAATTAATATTTGAGTAAGACTATCATAGAGAGGTAATTCTACAAAAAAAAAAAAAGGTAATTTATTGTTATAATGAATAATGGTTAAATGGAGGTTTGAGTGTATGTCAAATATTTAGCTTGAACAATTCTTTTTTTTAAGATATACCTATTTATTGAAGAAGCATAATTTAATTTTAATATATGAACAACATCACCTTTGGTGAAAAATATTTCATTTCTTTAAATTTCTGCCTTATCATTGTAAAATTGTACTCTTCTCCTTTTTCCTGCCGCATACATACGATATAGTTGTTGGCTAATGAAAGTATCAAGTATCTTATAGAAGTTGTATCGTGATATAAAATATTAAACTTTTTCAATAAAAAATTAATTGATGAATAAAATTTAAAGTATTGTTTATAGAATCTTTAATTTGAATTAAGATTATTTTATAATCAATCACTATTTTCTTATCTATTTTTATATAGCTAACTAGGAGTTTATCTTGTGACATAAAATTTTCTCAATTAAAATGAACACAAAATAATTGGAAAAAAATATATGGAACGATACATAGCCAATCGAAAATATATGTTCATGTTATATTTTCACAATAGAGTTCCATTTGATTAAAATATCTTGTCACCAACACTTTACTTTCTTTGTTCATTTTTACTTACATATCTATTAAAAAATAATTATTATCATGTCTATATTATCATATTATAAGTAAAAGTGAAATTCTATTTTTGAAATAGTGGATTTAACATCAAAACTAATGATTCATTGAACTACGTTGATGCTCGTTGTTTTAGCCAAATCAGAAAGAAACTACTTCATTTGAGAGTAAAAAAATAAAAAATAAAAAACCAAAGAAGAAATATCTTACCCAAATAATGTGACATTATTCATATTTGTTTATTAGTATTGTCTTTCCCACAACATTTCATCATTGTTAACTCATGGAAATTGTAAGAAAATATATGAGTGTGAATTTATGAATGATTTGCTACAATTTGTTCACCAACTCTTTCTTATGTGGTACCTCGAATTTCATTGAATTTTGAACTTAATCAAATATTATAAATAACCCTGAGATTTTTTAATAAGAAGAAGAGTAGAAAACTTTAAAAAACCGCATTTTAAAAGTGAGAGGAAACCCTCTATTTATAGCTAACAAATAGTAGTATTAATAGGTGCTAATTGTTCCTTATCATAAAAGTTACAACCTTTCGTAAAAGTCACTGCTCATCAGAAAAATCACAATCTTTTGCAAAAGTCACAACTCATTGAACATGTCAAATATAAAATTTTCTCAAATGAAAATGAACACAAAATAATAGGAAAAAAATATATGCAACGATACATAGCCAATGAAGAAAGAAGACGAAAATATATGTTCATGCTATATTCACAATAGAGTTCCATTTGATTAAAATCTCTTATCACCAACACTTTACTTTCTTCGTTCATTTTTACTTATATATATCTATTAAAAATAATTATTATCATGTCTATATTATCATATTATAAGTAAAGTGGAATCTATTTTGAAATAGTGGATTTAACATCAAAACTAATGATTCAATGGACTACGTTGATGCTCGTTGTTTTAGCAAAATAAGAAAAAAATGATACATAGCTAATGAAGAAGGAAGACGAAAATATATGTTCATGCTATATTCACAATATAGTTCCATTTGATTAAAATCTCTTGTCACCAACACTTTACTTTCTTCGTTCATTTTTACTTATATATATCTATTAAAAATAATTATTATCATGTCTATATTATCATTTTATAAGTAAAAGTGAAAATCTATTTTAAAATAGTGAATTTAACATCAAAACTAATGATTCAGTGGACTACGTTGATGCTTGTTGTTTTAGCAAAATAAGAAAGAAACTGCTTCATTTGAGGGTAAAAAAAAGAAGTAAAAAACCAAAGAAGAAATATCTTACCCAAATCATGTGACTTTATTCATATTTGTTTATTATTATTGTCTTTCACAAAACATTTCGTCACTGTTCACTCATGGAAATCGTAAAAAAAAATACGAGTGTGAATTATGAATAATTTGCTACATTTAGTTCACCAACTCTTTCTTATGTGGTACCTCGAATTTCATTAAATTTTTAACTTAATCAACTGTTTCAAATAACCCTGAGAGTTTTTCAGAAGAAGAAGAAGAGTAGAAAATTTTCAAATATTGTAGTTTAAAAGTGAGAGGAAACCCTCTATTTATAGCTAACAAATAATAGTACTAATAGGTGCTAATTGTTCCTTATCAGAAAAGTTACAACCTTTCTTAAAAGTCACTGCTCATCGAAAAAATCACAACCTTTTGCAAAAGTCACAACTCATCGGAAAAGGTACAACCCTTCGAAAAAGTCACAACCCTTTGAAAAAATCACAACCTTTCGGAAAAGTCACAACTCATCGAAAATGTCAAACATAAATTTTCTCAAATTAAAATGGACACAAAATAGCAGGAAAAAAATATATGGAACGATACATAGCCAATGAATAAGGAAGACAAAATTATATGTTCATGCTATATTCAGTATAGAGTTCCATTTGATTAAAATCTCATGTCACCAACACTTTACTTTCTTCGTTCATTTTTACTTATATATCTATTAAAAAAAATTATTATCATGTCTATATTATCATATTATCAGTAAAAGTGAAAATCTATTTTTGAAATAGTGGATTTAACATCAAAATTAATGATTCAATGAACTACATTGATGCTCGTTGTTTTAGCAAAATCACAAAGAAACTGCTCCATTTGAGGGTAAAAAAATAAAAAATAAAAAATAAAAAATCAATGAAGAAATATCTTACTCAAATCATGTGACTTTATTCATATTTGGTTATTATTATTGTCTTTACCACAACATTTTGTCACTGTTAACTCGTGAAAATCGTAAGAAAAAATACGAGTGTGAATTATGAATGATTTGCTACAATTTGTTCACCAACTCTTTCTTATGTGGTACCTCGATTTTTGTTGAATTTTGAACTTAATCAACTGTTACAAATAACCCTAAGATTTTTTAAGAAGAAGAAGAAGAGTAGAAAGCTTATAAAAATCGTAGTTTAAAAGTGAGAGGGAACCCTCTAGTTATAGCTAACAATGGTAGTATTAATAGGTGCTAATTGTTCCTTATCAGAAAAGTTACAACCTTTCATAAAAGTCACTGCTCATCGGAAAAATCACAACCTTTTGCAAAAGTCACAAATCATCGGAAAAGGCACAACCCTTCTGCAAAGTCACAACCTTTTGAAAAAATCACAACCTTTCGAAAAAGTCACAACTCCTAAAAAATGTCAAAACCCGTCAAAAAAGTCACAACCCTTTGGAAAAGTCACATCTCTTTAAGAAAATCACAACCCTTTAATATGAAAGGGTATCTACATTTTATATAATACAAATAATTAAATTAATAAATAAAACAAATTGAATATTTGTAATTGGGGGGTATTATAGTAATTCAACATTCATTTTAGGAGTTCATGCTTTTAAGGTTATATATATATATATATATATATATATATATAATTCTTTCAAAATTTTCAATTCACATCGGAAATTCTTAAATTTTTTAAATATAATTAAACCAAATGTGTATATTAAAACTAGTAGTACTGAATGATATAACATAAAGTTAATGGGTTCTGTCGATCTCACTACCTTCGTCACATACATATACCTATAATTTTAGGATTTTAACAATTTTTAGTGATAATAACCTAAGTATCAAACAAATCAAATATTTATTTCAGATCCACTTTTTCGTAATAGTGCACCCATTAATTATCTTGAAATCCTGAATATGCCTTTTCTTCATATATTTTTTGTGTTCTTGATATATATTTTCCAAACATATATACCATTATTGAGTTGGTTTAGAACACCAGACAACGAATTCTCTTATGGGAATCAAAAGAAGTTTTGCCATATGCATAAGTGCACACTTGGTCGATCTTTTAAATTTTATACTACGTAGTGTTGCTGTAAAAAGGAGACCACGAACTGACGAAAGTACACTAAAAGCTTTACAAAAATATAACCTTCTCATACTATTTGGAGATTTCAAACCTATAAAGTTGGAAAAACTATTGGCATCAAGGCTTCAAAGGATGCATGTGGAATTAAACTAATTTTACAAAGATAATTCAGCCAAAACAAAATGTATAAAACTTCTATACAGATGCATGTGAATTATTTAAACTGATATTAAAGCCGGATCTGTCGTTCCAAAAATGGAGATCTCCGGAACAACTGAATATTTCAATCTATACATGAAGTGTACACTAACTAATCAATCTCGATCAATTCAAAATCAGTTCTACCTAGTTCTAAATTTTAAATTTGAAATCCTCTCAACGTTTTTGAGTCTTTTGATATACAATTCACTCGAAATCATTTATGTTTACTACGCATCGAATTTTAAAGAAAAAAATGGGGTAGATCGTGGAAGAAGAAGAAAGAACACATAATACATGCCTTCAAAATTTAAAAGGTTTTTTTAAAAAAAAATCATCTCCAAATGTGCCGGAATAGATAAAAGGGCATTTTCGTTGTAAATTTTTTTGCTAAAACGGCTATAAGGCATAATGATCCCGATAATTAATACATAAATAATTGACCTATGCAGAACTAATATCTGAATAAAATAACATATTGATTTCTTCATAACTAATCCCTATATCCATTTTTTTTTTAAAATCCCTATATTACTAATATTTACAACTCTAATCAACAACTCAACAACCCCCTAAAGGATCACTAGCTTGACTCGTTTGGGAATTTTTCCTTGTAGATGTCGTCGAGCCCGAACTCTTGCTTCTTGAGCATCATATTCGTAAGGATCAATAATTAATGTGTCAAGCGCGACACTATTTCTAGTAAGGTAAGTTGTAAGTACCCTGTCAGCAAAACCACCAAGGTAACCACTATATTTGACTTCTTTGAGATGTTGATGGGGACACTTTTTCCGTATAACCTTTTTTTTGGAGATCATCGTTTTAGCCCACTCAAGCTGAAAAGGAAAAACAAAGGGTAAGTAAAATATAACTAGTATGAAGCCAAGGAAAACATTCTTTTCCTAACATAATTGCAATTGAGTTTAATTTACATATACCAATTGCGAACACAATTTCTTATTCCATACATACATACATGTGATTGTTAAAAAATAAAGGAATTTATAATCTATATTTATATTGCTTTAAAGGCATAAAAAATTGTCATTTATTATTTTTTTTTAAATTAGTATTTGATTATTTTTAAGTAAAAAATATAAAAATTGGACATAATATAAAAGGAAAGAAGAACATGGTTTTTTTTTTAGTTAATAATCATTATAATTGGCATATGTTAAAACAATACGGAAGAAAAGGATAAAAATATGAGTATTAAATACAAAAATTGGCGTTGGTTAATATAACAAGGAAAAGACAATTTTTTAATATGAGAATAAATAGGAAACTTATCAGTACTAAATTCCTAATATTTAGTAATTATTAGTTTGGATTTAGTTTATTTGAACCCATGTTATTTTAATACGTCATATATATTAAAAACAAAAAAAAGTATTTATGAAAAATAACATAAAGAATAAACTCATACGCACCTCAATATGCAGTTTTTGTAAATATGGAGATGCTTCTATTAGTGGAGTAATACCAAGTAGGGAAACATCTTCCATGCCTGAGAGTTTCAACACAAGCACTTTGAGATTGTTGAACTTTGGTAAAGCATGATCAAGAAAATGAAGATCCTGGAATAATCAAACAAATTAAAAATTACAAGAGTAAAGTCAAGCTTTCTTTATATATTCTAGCTCTATGTAATACATTAATATATAATTGCTTACCATCCCCATATGACAAAATTCAAGTGAAAGCGTCCTCAGTCGAGTGAAATAGGTTGTAAACGTATGAACAAGTTCACATATCACTGCTTGAGTCATCTTGAAATCAACAGTAAGAACTGAAGTCACATTCTCGAGAAGCAAATTTGATTTCCATCCTATATATGTATTTAAAAGAGACAAGATTGATGTTATGGATCTTGATGAAATCTAAATTAATGCAATGACATAGTTCCAAATCTTTCAAGTTGAAGCATGATGGTCCAACAATTTCCAGGTGAGTCAATAGTAGTGATTGATGAATAGATAGTTTCTCAAGAAGGGGACAGTTGAAGATGAAAAAGTTGACCACCCGATTGTCAACATCAACGTTATTGAAAGCCAAAACTTTGAGACTAACAAATGGTGATAAATTTGATCTATGACTTGAGATGAACTTAAATGGAAAGGTATATCGCCTATGCTCGTATTTACTGAGTGATAGGTCTAGTTGAAAGATTTCAACCTTTTTCTTTGATGATACAAAGTTGAGACATTTACTTATTACACGCTTAAAATGCTTATGAAAAGGAAAAGAGAGAGTGAATTCTTCTAAGTGGCCACCCTTGTGGAAATCCAAAACATTATTAATCAAATTGATATGCTTCATCCCTTCCTTTCTGCATAACCTTGGATAATGACATATCTTCCATGTAATAAACTGTGAAACGTCGAAATTGAGACGTGTGACATACATCCAGAGATAGTGCCATTGAGTTGAAAGGGAACTTGTTTGGACTGCTTCTCTAATTGTTAATTGAGACAGAATTGATACAATAACTTCATCTGGCAATTGGCTAAGCCTGTCCTCCATTGATATCAAAATTGATTTTATTGATACGAACACAAGTTTGTTTTCTGCTACTATATTCTTTACAGCCTTAATTCAATTTGGCCAATTGGTACTTCTATTGGGTTTATATAGGTTTTCAAATGACAAAATCTCAATTTACATCTATGAATAGAGAGAACTGATTTAGGGGAAATAGGGAGAAACCAAAGAGATGATCTTATTCATTGATCATGCTTATGGAGCATGTGCACTGTACATCGACATATATAGTTCAGCTAATTTCCTAACTACCTTTACAACCAATCAGAAATGTACACCTGTCAATCTAACAGAATTAGTTATACTTAACTAACTAATGAAGCTGAAAACTAACTAATGGAATCAAGTCACACCTCTGTCCACATTATCTTCAATACTCCTCCTCAAGCTAGGTGTGGTGAAAACATTCAAAACACCTAGTTTGGATAGTAAAAAATCATGTTGCAACTTCCCCAAAGCCTTTGTCAGTATGTCTGCCTGTTGGTCTCCTGTGGGAATATAGATAGTGCTAATCAACCCTTGTTGAATCTTTTCTCGAACAAAGTGACAATCGATGTCAATGTGCTTAGTTCGTTCGTGGAACACAGGATTTGCAGCAATCTGAATGGCTGCCTTATTATCACAAAATACAGCTACTGGTTCTTTAACTTTGATGCCTAACTCTTTAAACAAGTTTGTCACCCACACAATTTCAGCTGTTAGACAAGCTAGGCTTCTATATTCTGCTTCTGCAGAGCTCCTTGAAACTGTAGGTTGTTTCTTGGACTTCCAAGAGATAAGAGAATCTCCCAATTTTAACAAGTATCCAGTAACTGATCTCCTTGTGTTTGGGCATGCTGCCCAATCTGAATCACAAAAACCAGTCAACTTCATATTCTTCTGTGAAGACATCAATATCCCCAAGCCTGGTTGATTTTTAATGTATCTAAGAACTCTGAGAGCAGCCTGCCAGTGTTGAACTTTTGGCCTTTGTAGAAACTGACTCAAAGTTTGCACTGTGTAGGCAATATCAGGTCTAGTTATTGTCAAGTATAGTAACTTCCCAATCAACCTTTGATATTGGGAAACATCATGATATAACTCCTCCTCACCACATGTTCCTTCAGAAGCTGTAGTGAGTTTCATATTGCATTCTAGTGGAGTAATTGCTGACTTTCCTGCAGTGATGCCAGCCTCAACTAGAAGTTCTAAAGCATACTTCCTTTGGCTCATTAGGATTCCCTTTGTAGATCTGCTAAATTCTATCCCCAAGAAGAATTTCAACTCTCCCAAATCCTTGATTTTAAACCATTTATGCAGGACATCCTTAGTGGCCTGAATAAGAGCAGCATTGTTCCCAGTAATAAGGTCATCAACATAGACCAATATAATGACTAAACTGGTACCCTGCCTTTTTGTGAATAGAGAATAATCCAAATGGCTTTGATTGTATCCAGACTTCAGCAAAGCTTCAGTAAGCTTAGAATTCCATTGACTGGAAGCTTGTTTAAGTCCATAAAGAGACTTCACAAGCTTACATACCATAGGTGTAGTTCCTGCCACCTGCAAGCCTTTAGGCAGTTCCATGAACACTTCCTCTGTAAGGTCCCCTTGTAAAAAGGCATTGTAAACATCCATTTGATACATATACCAACTCTCTGCAGCAGCTAATGCAATGACAGCTCTGACGGTTACCATCTTCACTACTGGTGAGAATGTCTCCTGATAGTCTATCCCAGCAGTCTGATTATACCCTTTAGCCACTAGTCTAGCTTTGTACCTTTCAACAGTGCCATCAACCTTATGTTTGATCTTAAAAACCCATTTGCATCCTATCACAGGTTTTCCTTGTGGACAAGGTACCAGGTTCCAAGTACCATTTTCCTTGAGAGCCTGTAATTCTTGTTGCATTGCATCTTTCCACTTATCATCCAGTAGTGCCTCTTCATAGGACTTAGGTTCAGTGACAGCTGAGAAATGACTTAAACAAGCTTTGTATGTAGGAGATATAGTCTGGTAAGACACATAGTTGGATAATGAATGAGGGTTATGACCCTTTTTTATAGTAACATAATCATGATGCCAGGCTGGTTTGATAACTGCTCTACTGGACCTTCGTAGATCAGGAGGTAGGATTGTGTGTTCATTAGTACCATCATCAGTATCCATTGAGGCTGGCACATCAGGGACAATATCTTCTTCTGTAAGTGGAGCCTCTTCAGGTTCATGAAGCTCCATTTGAGCTGAATCAAACTCTGATGACTGAGTGAGGTTTGGAAACAAGGGAATTGAACCATCTGAACCATCATGATCTTTAAAAGGGAAAACTGATTCTTTGAACACTACATCTCTACTAACCAGTAATTTCTTGTCAGAAATGTCAAAAAGAATATAACCTTTTTGAGTAAGAGAATACCCCATCAGTACACAAGCATTAGCTCTAGGTGAAAATTTATCTTTTCTGACAAGTGTGGTAGCAAAACATAAGCATCCAATAGTTCTGAGATGATCTAGTTTAGGCTTTCTTTTGTAAAAAACTTCATAAGGTGACTGACCCTTCAATGTGGGAGTAGGCAGTCTGTTAATTAAATAAACAGCTGCTATGACACATTCTCCCCAAAATCTAATGGGTAAACCTCCTTGAAATCTGATAGCCCTTGCAACCTCTAAGATGTGCCTATGTTTCCTTTCCACCACTCCATTTTGTTGTGGAGTGTGTGGACAACTGCTTTGATGGACAATTCCTAAAGAATCAAACAAATCTTTACATTCAGTGCTAAAGAACTCACCACCATTATCTGATCTAACACTCTTCACACCACAATTGAACTGAGTTTTAACCATATAAAAAAAGGATCTCAGAATTGTGACAGCATCAGATTTCAGTCTAAGTAAGTATAACCATGTAATTCTGGAACAATCATCAACCATAGTTAGGAAATATCTGAAACCAGCATGAGTTTGTACTCGAAATGGTCCCCAAACATCAATATGTATCAAGTCAAATATTGAGGTACATTTGGTAAGTGACAAAGGAAAAGGTAACCTTGTTTGTTTTGCTAAAGGACATACAAAACAATCATCAATGTGATTATTGACAGTTGGAACTAATTTCTTTAAAACAGTAGAAGAAGGGTGACCAAGTCTTCTGTGCCATAACATGCTATCATTCTTGGTGACTTTGATGTGCATCAATTTTCCAGCAACTTGATTAGTCCTTTCAGCACCATGGTTCAACAAGTAATAAAGGCCTCCTGTCTCTTTACCAATCCCCTTGACCTTCCCAGTTAACAGGTCCTGAAAGACACAAAACTCAGGGAAAAATCTTACTGAGCAGTGTAATTGCCTAGTTAACTGAGAGACTGATAGCAAATCATACTTGAAATCAGGGACTACTAGGACATTAGTTAAGACATCACCAGTGCTCCACTTATAACTACCAGTGTGGGATATTAAGGTAGTACCTCCATTAGGTAATTGTACATAGTTCTGACCACCTTGTTCTAAAGAGACTATATCAAATAGATCATCTAATGAGGCTGTAGTGTGCTTTGTTGCTCCAGAATCTATCACCCAATTTTTAAGCTTAATGCTGTCAGAAAAAGAATAACCCATACCTGCTTGATTGACAACAGGAGCATCAGTGTGTTCTTTGTTCAATAACCTGAGAATTTGACCATACTGTTCCTGAGTGAATGTGGGAGAGGCTGAACCAAGTGAATCATCTTCAACAGCATTCACATTTGCCATTCTATTTCCCTGATTGCCAAACCTTTCAGGTTGTGCTCCAAATTTCTTCTTGAATTTATAGTCTGGTGGATAGCCAACCACTCGATAACATGTCTCCTTGGTATGACCTTTCAACTTGCAAACTTCACACTGCAAGGTATAATCCCTCTTTTGCTTATATGAGGATTGTTGATGGCCTCTTCCTGCATATAATGCAGTAGAGGTAGATGCACCTACATCTCCTCCTGAGTAAGGATTATTGCCAACAATCTGTCCTCCTGAGTAAGGATTATTGCCAACAA